CACTTTACTCCTCAAAGTTAAATTGGTCCACTTAACTCCCTTGACCATGGCTTAACCCCTCACTGTTAACGCAATCCAAAAGACTGTAAAAAATACTGACATGGCAGGGGCATTGTGGTAAAATCAGACATGTTGGCCAATTGTTGAGCATCATCAGCGTCCTATGTGGAAAAGTGGAGACAAATGCTTTTAAAATCGAAATCTAAATAGCTCAATGCGTAGATTTGGCCAAAAGAAGAAGCTCATACTTGGTAAAATTTGGAGATTTAGGCTTTGGAGTAGAGAAGAGAGAGAGAGAGAGAGAGAGAGAGAGATATACATATATATTCAAAAATATGAGAAGGAGCGAATATTGCACAAGAATCTAAATCTTGGGAGAAGCCAATATTGATGATTTGGATTGGTGATTTGTGGACTACATAAATTTGTTAGAGATGTATGGGTATGCAAAAAAACTCGGCCACCAACACCAAGTGCTTGTGATAAGGATACAAAATGGTAAGAAAGTTAATATACATAGTGATGCTTAGCTACTTGAATGGTGTCATTTGGTGCCTCCTAACTAGAGCTGTTAATGGATCAGATTTTGATTTTGATATGATCCGAATTCGAAGTAATTAATAGGAAATGGATTTGGTGCTATAATATGATAACTCAATTATATTATGAATCCATTTACCCGTTAAGTTAACGGAACAAATTTGAATCTTGCCTAATCCGATCTGATAATGATCCTTCCGATAATGATATAATCCAATTTGATATAACATATATTTCATTTTATTTTATTTTTACTTAATATATAATATATATGCATATGTAATAATCTTGGGATTTTTTTTATAAAAATAAATAAAAATACTTTTCAATTATTTGTATATATGATAGAAAATAATGTGGATCGGATTATCAGATCCGATATCGGATAATTCAATAAATAGGACATGGATCTAGTTGTTAATGATCTGTTGGATTTTTAGATCGGGTCGAGTTGGATTTCAACTACTCCATTCCATCTCCAACTCGGTTACAAGCCTACTCCTAGCCTTGAAAGAGTGGTTTTTATTTACTTGGAACACCCTACTGTTATTAATGTGGATGAAACTACAGTGCCTAGGAGGGAGAAATTTCCTAGTGCAAGAATTCTAATTGCTGAATTTGAATAGGAAGATGAGAGTGATGAACAGTCTAGTTATGAGGCTATAAAAATGAGGAGGTTAAGGTGTGGAGGCTGAAAGTGAAGAAGATGAGAATGAAGACAATGAAGAAGATGAGGAAGACCTTGAATTTTATGATAGTGCTTATGAGCAAAGTGAAGATGAACAATGCTTCCCAGAGAATGATGATAAAGCATTTGACAACAATGCTCCAGATGTTGACCCAATTGCAGATGAAGAAGAGAAGTCAGATGATATGACTGTAAGTGATGTTAATAGCTTGGATAGCATGTGATGAGGTTGATGGGCTTGTGAGAAAGTGGAAGAGAAAATTGCCTAAGTTTGATGATTTTAGGCCTGACACGAATTTGACAAACCCAATCTTTAAGATTGGTCTAAGATTTCCAAGTGTCTGAAAATACAAAGTTGTGAGAAACTATTCAGTATTTAATTGAAGAAAGATTAGGTTATTCAAGAATAATAAAGAAAGGTGATGGTAGTTTGTGTTGGGATTGAGGATGGAAATGCCCATGATTTGTTTATGCTTCAGCTGTAAATGGAAGTAGCATGGTTCAAATTAAGAGTTATGAAGAAGAGCACATATGTGGGACTGTTGAACGCAATGTCCATGCTAACTCATCATGGTTAGGAGAGAGATATTGTAACAACCTGGTCCTTAATTAATATTCAATTATTAATTTATTCCAATAAAAGACCACTATACCCCTAGAATATTTTATTAGGTTTAAAAGTTGACTTTTTGATTGGGAAGGAATTTGGGATTTCAGTTGTACTATTGAGTAGAGCGCGACGAAACGAGTCCGTAGACACGTAGTGGACTCAAATCGGAGTTGTATCGAAGGAGTTACCATTAAAAGAAGTTCAGTGGCATAACCGTAAATATTTCGAAGTTGAGTTCTTAAAAAACCCAGATTTCTCCTATGTCGGCAACTCAACCAGTCGACTTCAGGAGATGATTTCTCTCAGCTCCGAGTACCAATTCGAGGGAGACTGGTGCCAAACGAACCACCTCACTCCCCTCTTTCAGTCTCAGCCCATCCCAGCCTCGATCCGCCGTCGTGGTCACCGGAAACCGCCACGAAACAGGGCAGTTTGGACAGTTTTTTATAGAATTTCACGGAGCTCATTCGGACACCTCCGGCCACCAAATCGGAGGAGTGAGGTATGGTTTTCTAGCTATTTTCCATGCTCTAGCTGCTGGTTGGGTAGGATTTCAGAGATTTCAAGCGTAGATCGTTCGATTTTTAAGTTAGGTTTCAGTAGACTTTCGAGTCACTGTTTCGGCCACTTCCGACCAGTTTTTGGGGTAGGTCCAAGAACAAAAGTGGTTCCAAATAGGGTGTTTTACCTGGGATAGGAGTCTTGAGCCGAGATGTTGAGATTTTCCGGCGAAGCGTTATCGCTTCGGGCAACCACGCGCTGCCAGCGCGTGTGGTGGTGCGTGGGCACTGTAGCAGTGAGGCATTGTGTCTCAATGTAATCCTCTTATTGTCACGAGCTCGTAGGAATTCGCGAATATCAATTCGAATGAATCTCACCTAGTGGGTGATTCCCTGGTTCAGTAGGTTTGAACCGTTGGATCGTAATCATGTTCCAGTATGATGATCTAGGTAATTTCAGGATCGTATAACATTTGACAGATTGTAAAACAAAGTCTCGGATACTTCAGAAATGTCAGCCCTATAGTGAGGTTTACAGTAAAACAAACCAGTTACAGGACAGGAACAGAGAAAAGAACTACGTGTGGCTTGATCCATCATTAAGGGTACGTAGGCAACCTATAGTTATCAGGCGTAGCCACGAGTTAGGGCGTCAAGGTTTGTGTTATTATTTTTCAGGGCATTTTGGTCTTTTACGACCCACGGTTACTAGGTGTAAGTTTTAAACAGGATTCGGCCCAGATTTCAAAGTGGAATTTGGGTCGGGTCGTTTCAGATATTCTACTCATCTTTCTAGAATAATCAATTGGAATGTAGGAGCTTTTAAAGATAGGGTGAATGAAAATTTAAGTGTCATAGATTCAAGATCACAAATATACTGAGCAAGACAAAAGGCAACTGCTGTAAGTTAGGAGACTTACACAAAACAGTTTGAGTTTCTTTGGGATTATGCTGAGGAGCTAAAAGGACTAATGTGGGAGGTACTGTAATTATTAAGTCCAATTTAGGGGGTGACAAATCCAAATTTCAAAGGATTTATACATGCTTGGAAGTTACAAAGAAATGGTTTATTGATAGTCTCAGGCCAGTTTTAGGTTTGGATGCTTGTCAATAAAGATATCAAAGGGCAACACCATGGTAAGGGTAAAAAAAAAGTAAAAAAATCATCTCAAGGGAGAGAGGGGGGAAGCGAGAGATGGGAGAGGGGAGGAAGGAGTGGAAAGGGCGGGATGGAAGTGAGGAAAGGGTGGTGTGGGGAGGAGTAGGTCGGATGTTGGAGTTTTGGGAGGAAGTTGGGGTGACAGGAGTTTGAGATTGTTTTTTTACTCTTTTTGACATAAATGTTTAGTATCTATTTAATTTGTTGTCCACATGACACTATACGAGAAAATTCTTAATAGTATCACATGTATGAAAGTGATATGGAAACTCCAAAATTAACTAAAAAACCTTAGGAAATAAAGGCTTCAATCCAGTACACTTCAGGCCATTCCGGCCAATAACGTGAAAAAAAATTACCATGAATAAACTTTACAAGGATAGGTGTTATCATGTTTTGTGAATGAATACTAAACCGACCTATTAATTATCGTGCCAACCAGAGCCTATAAGAAACACTTTAGGGCCTATTTGGTATTGGATTTGAATCCAATTTTATAAACTCAAAAACATATTTTAAGTTAAAAGCCAAAAAAACCCATTTGGTAGGTCCATTTTTAAAAACTCAAACCCAAAATAAACTCAAAAACACAAACAAATTATTTATAAAAATAAAATAATAAGAGTATGAAAAGCACCACTGAATATTGAGAGTAGAATTGAATTTGCTCTTGTGATGTTTACATTGACAAAATTTCTCTCCACAGATAGAACTCACTCTCTTTTGTTTCCTCTCACTCTTCCTTTCTTCCCTTCCTTTCTTTCCTCTCTTCTCCTTGGTCTGTTCTACAATTGAATGAGCAAGCCTATTTATAGGCAAATTGGATGGCTATATTACCCAACATCATCATTAAGCTTTTGACTAAACTTCCAACATCATCATTAAGCTTTTGACTATTATTTCCTTCTTTTCCTTTATGTGGGCTTCAACACCTTCTTTACAATACTCCCCCTTGGAGACCACATGTCCCTAGATTGGTTGCCTCATTAAAACATTGCTTGGAAAAACCCAGTGGGAAAAAATTTAAACGAAAGAAAAAGAGTACAACTTTATTTGGGACATAAGAGTAATGTTAAATGTGCTCATATTGCCTCGTTAAAACCTTACTAGGAAAAACCCAGTGGGAAAAACCCTAGTCGAAGGGAAAAGAGTACAATGCTCATATGTCCTGTGTTAGAGGACTCTTGAATGCTCCCCCTGATTTTGCATGCTCCAATTTAATTGCTTGCAGAGTTGACGTAATCCGATACCATGCACTAGCTTTTGGAATGTACATTTTGGAAAAGACTTGGTGAAGAGATTTTCCAAGTTATCGCTTGAATGGATTTGTCTGACTTTGATTTCTTGACTCTTGATGTGCTTGGTCTTGTCACCCTTGATGTATCCTCCTGTGATATGAGCAATACAAGTTGCATTGTCCTCATTCAAGATTGTTGGAGTGTTCATTGCTAAGGGTAGGGCACATGTGCTTCAGATGTGATGGATCACTGACCTTAACCAAACTCATTCACAACTGGCTTCATGGAGGGCAAGTATTTCTGAGTGATTGGAAGATGTGGCTACTAATGTTTGTTTCATTGAGAGCCATGAGATTGCAATTCCTCCACATGTAAACGCATACCCAGTTTGTGAGCGTCCTACATATGGATCAGAGAGGTATCTTGCATCAGCATATCCAACAATACTCGGGGCATTAGTCGATTCATTGGAATAGAATAAGCCCATGTCTGCTGTCCCACGAAGATATCGTAGAATATGTTTGATGTTGGTCCAATGTCGGCTAGTTGGAGCAGAGCTGTATCTTGCTAACAAATTCACTGAAAATGCTATGTCTAGTATGATACATTGTTCTAAGTACAATAAAGCCCCTATCACACTAAGATATGGTACATCTGGGCCAAGAACCATTTCATCATCCCCTTTTGGACGGTATGGATCTTTCTTAGTGTCAAGTGATCGAATGACCATTGGAGTGCTAAGTGGATGGGCTTTATCCATGCCAAACCGCTTCAATACTTTTTCAATATAAGTTGATTGATACACCAAAAATCCATTAGCATTGTGCTTAATCTATAAGCCAAGATAATATTTTGTCTTTCCAAGGTCTTTCATCTCAAATTCACGTTTGAGATAATCAGCAATCTTTTGGAGCTCTTCACAGCTCCAATTAGATTCATGTCGTCGACATATACTGCCACTATCGCAAATCCAAACTTTAATTTCTTAATAAACACATATGGGCAAATAGGGTCATTTGTGTATCATTCCTTTAGTAAATACTTATTGATATGATTGTACCACATTCACCCAGATTGTTTTAGCCCATATAATGATCTTCTCAACTTAATTGAGAACATGCCCCGTGGTTTATTCCTAGCTGCTTCAGGCAGCTTAAGTCCTTTCGGGACTTTCATGTATATATCTGTATCCAATTCTCCATACAGATATGCGGTAATGACATCTATAAGTCTCATTTCAAGTTTTTCTGAAACCGTCAAACTTATTAAGTAACGGAATGTAATTGCGTCTATTACTGGAGAGTATGTTTCCATATAATCAATTCCAGGCCTTTGTGAAAAATCTTGCGCAACAAGTCGCGCATTATACCTCTTGATCTCATTTTTCTCATTGCACTTTCTTGTAAATACCCACTTGTAACATACAGGGTTCACATTCGGTGGAGTTGGGACAATAGGTCCAAAAACATTCCTTTTCCCAAAGAATTTAATTATTCCTGGATTGCATATTTCCACTTAGGCCAATCCTGTCTCTATGTGTATTCATCAATGGAGCAAGGCTCAATATCATCATCTTTTATGATCTCAGTAGCCACTGAGAATGCAAATATATCATCGATGATCATCTCGTTTCTATTCTACAATTCATTAGTGTATGTTTAATTTATGGAGATTTCTTGACTTTTAGGTACTACTGCCACTTCAGGGGTAAATGTCTCATCAAGGACATTTTCCTTTTTAGGAAGTACCTGTGTCTCTTCCGGGGCATTTGAATTATGAATTGTGGGCTCTCCATTTATTTCATTTGGATTCATTTTGGCCATCAACTTCCTCTTTCGAGGGACTGAATCCTTTGAGCCTAGTGGTCTGCCATGCTTCAGACGTGCAACAGATGAATCATTTGTTGGCACATTGTTTGTCCATTATGGACATCAATCCTTGCAGGTACATTTGCAGCTAGGATATGTGATTTCATCACTTTTGTTGCATCATTAAATGCATCTGGCATCTTATTTGCAATACTTTGGGGGTGAATGATCCTTCTCACTTTGTTTTCGCATTGAGCGGTATGAGGATCGAGATGAGACAAAGTGGGTACATCCCACAATAATTCACGTCGTTCTTCAGGAACGAGTTTATCTTGTTGTTCTTTGAATAAATTTTTCTCCCCTTAATAGTGGGAAAATTGTCTCAACAAAATGACAATCTGCAAACCGTGCGGTAAAGATATAGCCCATCAGGAGCTCCAGATATCTGATAATAGATGGTGAATCAAAACCATCATAAATTCCCAATCTTCATTGAGGGCCCATCTTAGTACGTTGCGGTGGTGCAATGGGCACATATACATCCCAACCAAAAACTCTTAAATGTGAAATGTTTAGTTGATTACCCAACACGAGTTGTATTTGAGAATATTGATTATTGGCAATAGGCCTCAACCGCACAAATGATGCTGCATGTAAAATGGCATGTCCCCAGGCAAAAACTGGCAACTTTTTCTTCATTAGCAAAGTGCGAGCTATCAATTAAACATGAGGAACATGATGTTCAATGTCAATGCCTAGTGACATGCAGTAGTCATCAAAAGTCTAAGATGTAAATTCACCAGCATTATCGAGTTTGATTGACTTAATGGGATAATATGGGAATTGAGCTCGTAATTGAATTATTTGAGCCAAAAGCCTAGTAAATGCCATATTCTGAGTGGACAAAAGGCTAACATGTGACCATCAGGTAGATAACCAAGACCTTAAACTATCGAAATGGTCCACAAGGAGGATAAGTAGACGCACAAATGTCCCCCTGGATTCTCTGTAAAAATGATGGGGACTCAACATCAACCTTTGGTTGTCATGGTCTGATCACCAACTTCCCCTATGAATAGGCTTGGCAAGAGCTGTCACTTGATAACATAATGTGTTTTGTCAACAAGGGATGTCCTTTAGAGTTGGTGATGATCCTACACGTCATGGTGGATCCAAACCATATGAATGGGCACCATGATCTTTTCTATTTCCTTACCAACGGCCACGCTAGCCTCCTTGCCCATGTCTGTGGATATTGCCAAGAGATGAGGTGGCATTCACTTCCTGAGATGCAGCATTTATTTCAGGAAGTGGTGTTGAGCATGTTGGGTGAGATTGGTGATTTTTCAATAAAAGCTCATTGTTCTGCTCAACCAACAAAAGTCAAGATACCAGTTCTGAGTACTTCGTAAAACCACTATGTCTATATTGCTGCTGCAGGAGCACATTTAAGGCATGAAAGGTACTCAAAGTTTTCTCAAGCATCCTCCTCACAGATATTTTCACCACATAATTTCATCAGGAAGGTGATTATGTGCATTACTCAGTTGTACTTAGACACTGACTTGAAATCTTGGAAACTCAAGTGTGTCCACTCATATTTGGCTCTTGGAAGGGTCACCGTCTTCTGGTGATTGTATCTTTCGCATAAGGTTTTCCATAGAACCAATGGTTCATCCACCACCACATATTCGCTTTTTAGCGCTTCATGAATGTGATGACGAAGAAAAATCATAGCCTTTGCATGTTGCTCAGGTAATGCATCACTTCCATCTACAATTGTTTTTCCAAGGCCATTGGCATGTAGATGGATCTTGGCATCCAGGACCTATGATAGATAGTTGTCCCCGGAAATGTCCAAGGCAGTAAATTCCAGTTTTGCCAAGTTTGCCATCTTTAAAGAAAATAAGATGCATTAGAATTTGCAATAATTTTCAGGCTTAATATATTTTTGAACTTCAAGCCAAAAATATCTTGCATATTTTCCCGAAACTTCAGGCTGGGGATTTGGGACATTAAGCCATTTATTAATAGGAATTTCAGGCCTTATAATTGTTTGAGGAACTTCAAGCCCTCATTATTCATGAATATTAATTGATGATAAAAATAAAGTACTATAAATAAATTTGCTGGTATGGACGATAAACCCGCACCATACTTTATATAAAAGTAAACATGCAATAAAGTAAATTTCCACATCATACTTTAAATAAAAGTAAATGTGCGATAAAGTAAATTGCTTGTTGTGTGGACGATAAATCCGCGTCACACTTTTAAATAAATATTGCTATATGGGTAATAAACATAAACCATATAGTAAATAGGAGAGACTATAGCCATGATAACATGTTATAAAAATAAAATAATTTGAGTATGAAATGTAACAACCCGGTCCTTAATTAATATTTAATTATTAATTTATTCCAGCAAAAGACCATTCTACCCTAGAATATTTTATTAGTTTAAAAGTTGACTTTTTGACCGGAAAGGAATTTGGGGATTTCAGTTGTACCGTTGCATAGAGCGCAACAAAATGAGTCCGTAGACATGTAGTGGACTCAAATCGGAGTTGTAACGAAGGAGTTACGAGCAAAAGAAGTTCAGTGGCATAACCGTAAATATTTCAATCTTCAGTTTATATAAACCCAGATTTTCTGGTTTTCGGGGGACGACCAGCCGACTTTGGGAGCTGTTTTCTCTCAGCTCCGACTAACGGATAATGCTATGAAGAAGCTCGATACATTAGTTCCAATTATTTCGTTGATTGGATCATTGGCTAAAGTGAAATTTTGTTCCGATTCAGGCAAGACCAGTGCCAAATGAACCAAGAAACTTCTCTCTTCCAACCCCAGCCATTCGCCGCCACGATACGCGGCCATAGGCGCCGGAAAAAGTCACGAAACAGGCGGCGCTGGACAGTTTTTGACAGAACTTCCAAGCTTTCATTCTCCGTCGTCCGACCACCAAATCGGGCTAGTGAGGTATGGTTTTCTAGCTATTTTTCATGCTCTAGCTGCTAGTTGGGTAGGATTTCAGAAAGTTCTAGCGTAAATAGCTCGATTTACGAGTTAGGTTTCAGCCAGTTTTCGGGTCACTGTTGCGGCCACTTCCGGCCAATTTTTGGGGTAGGTCCAAGAACAAAAGTGGTTCCAAATAGGGTGTTTTACCAAGGATAGGAGTCTTGAACCGAGATGTTGAGATTTTTCGGCGAGGCGTTATCGCTTCGAGCAACCAGCGCTGCCAGCGCGTGTGGCGGCGCGTGAGCATCAGGGTGGGGACCACAGTCAGTCCTAGAATAATCTCCTAGTCCTCACGAGCGCGTAGGATTTCGCGGATCTTAATTCGGATAACGTTTGAACCCCGAACAGATCTCGCCTAGTAAGCGATTTCCGGGTTCTATACGTTTGAACCGTTGGATCGTAGTCATTTTCAAGTATGTTGATCTAGGTATTTCCAGGATCGTATAGTATTTGACGGATCGTAAAACGGAGTCCCGGATACTCCCGAAATGTCAGCCCTAGAGTATATTTTACGGATAAGTAAACCAGTTACAAAATAACGAATCAGTTGTAGGTCAAGAACAGAGGAAAGAACTACGTGTGGCTTGATCCCTCTGTAAGGGTACGTAGGCAGCCTACAGGTGTCAGGTGCAGCCACGAGTTAGGCCCCCAGAGTTTGTGTTATCGTTTTCAGGGCATTTTGGTCAGTTACGACCCATAGTTACCAGGTGTCAGTTTGAAACAGGTTTCGACCCGGATTCCAAAGTAGAAATTGGGTCAGGTCATTTCATGAAAAGTACCACTGAATATTGGGAGTAGAATTGTATTTGCTCTTCTGATGTTTACACTGACATAATTTCCTCCACATATAGAACTCACTCTCTTTGTTTCCTCTCACTCTTCCTTTCTTTCCTTTCTTTCCTCTCTTCTCCTTTGGCGTATTCTACAATTGAATGAGCAAGCCTATTTATAAGCAAATTGGATGGCTTCATTACCCAACATCATCATTAAGCTTTTGACTAAACTTCCAACATCATCATTAAGCTTGTGACTAATATTTCCTTATTTTCCTTTATGTGGGCTTCAACACTTTCTTTACAACAGAAAATAGAAAAAGTCTGTTTTTTTCAAAAAAAATTTATACTCATCTCATCGCTCGAGTGATGTTTGCTTTAAGCTCCTTCTGGTCGAGCTCAAGCTTCAAGCCCCCATACCAGAAACTTGAAGCTCTCTCTCTCTCTCTCTCTCTCTCTCTTCGTCCCTCTTTCTTATTAGTAACTTTTAGGGCCAGGCATCTAAGCACCGCCCTTGCCGGCTCATCTCGTAACTTGAAGTCTTGATGTCACACACCACCGAACAGGCGCGCAGCATTGGCTCATCGTGAGCTAGAGTTGCTCATCTCCGATCACTACAATCGGGTAATCTTTAGTTCCCTTTTTGTCCTTGTTGCTTAATGTAACAACCCGGCCCTAAATAAATTTTTAATCATTAATTTATTCAGGTAAAAGACTATTTTTCCCCTGGAATACTTTATTAGTATAAAGTTGACTTTTTGATCAGGAAGGAATTTGGAAATTTCTGTTGTATTGTTGTGTAGAGCACATCGAGAGGAGTCCTTAGACACGTAGTGGGCTCAAATCCGAGTTGTAACGAGAGAGATACGATCAAAAATCAAGTATGGGCAACATCGTAATTTTTCAAAACTAGTTTTTAAAACTAGAAGTTCTCTCTCTCTCTCCCCGCTAATCCGACCCTCTTCCCTCGACCAGATTTTGCAGCCGCCACCTCCTGCAGCGACCGGCCATGAGACCGGTCCTAAAACAACCGGCCCGGCCCCGCCGTCCTACCCTAGCCCTTCACCGCCACCATCCATCCCTCCAGCTGTCGAAAAACATGAAATTTTAGGTTGGTTTTCACCCGATTTTCCAGCCGTTCGATCCCCCTCCTTCAGCCACTGGTTCTGATTTTCCAGTCGTTGGATTCTCATCTTCTCTTCGAGCTCTACCTAATGGTTGGGTAGGATTTGATCAATTTCTAGCCTAGGTAACCCGATTTACAACCCAAAGTTTGGCCGGTTTTCAATTTGAATTTTTGGCCACTTGTTGTCCGAATTGGACGTTGTCGTACTTGAAGAAAGTGTTCCACTCATCGAGTAGTAGCTATAGCCAGAAGGGTGGCCCATAGTTTGGAGTTTTTCCGGTATCGCTTAGGGCACCCACATGCTGTCACCGCGTGTGGCAGCACGTAGGCACTGTAGCAAAGGTACATTGTGTTCCAATCCAATATTTCGGGTGTTACGAGCATGTAGGTGTGCTCGGATCTCAATTCGGATGTCATTTGGCTATCGAATGGATTTACACATATTGTGCGTTATCTGGGTTCAATATGTTCGGACCGTTGGATCGGGTAGGATTTTGTGGATCAAGAATCAGAGCCTCGGATGTCCCGATTCAATAAGTTAAAGTTTCTGTTTTACAATAACCGTCCAATCATACGATCGTGAGCAATCCGGTCGTTCGATTTGGACCAAACTTGCAGGGTAGGTTTAGAAAAGTGTGTTGAATCTATAGGAACTCCCGGATTGGTGATCGGAGGTCACGGGCCCAGCTGACCAAGTTTGGGCAATCTGACCCCTCGGATGACCGTGAGTCTTCTGAGGTAGTTTTACCTTTCGAGAAGTACTAAAACGACCTTGTGAACGAGTCTTGACCAGTAGTCGAGTTATTTTGATTATGTTTAAATAACGAGTTTATGTTATAGTGTTTTAATGATATTTTGGGTGATATTGGATTATTCAAATGTTTGTGGGTTATTAGGTAACCGTTTTTATTTTCTAAGGATTTTGGTGTGGACGAGGAATTAATTAAATGTTCATTATATGTTTAAATTTATATATATATATATAGTATTGTTCACCCGTTTAATGTTTGCTCCTGTGATGGAAGGGTAAAGTTCCCCATTGCCTCGAAAACCATTGACTGGTCAACAAGTCAACTTTCTTTAGTGTGCGAGCGTGCCACTGCTGGCAATAAAAATACTGGCAGACTTCTTTACAAATGGATAACTTGCGCCTCAAGTTACTGATTTCTAAACGAACGATTGTGAATTTGAGCGATGAATATCTCCCAAATAAGTTCTTTTCCTGCTTTAGACCGGTGAGGACTTCACAATTTATCTCAATATAAAATTGGTAGTTCTGGCCAGAATAGATGACAATAAAGTGGATTGTTCTTAGGTAGAATTGCCTTTTACAAGACTTAGAAGGGAAAAATCAACTTTAGAAAGACAAAAAGAAGGCTAGAATTCCATTTCTGTCTAGATAGAAGCTTCTGATTCGGGCTAGACTGGGTGTACCTGCATTGGACTGGACTGTTCTCAACTTCAACTACTAAGCTTCAGCTGCAAATCGATAC